AAAAAAAAAAAAGCTCTACTTTAGAGAATACTGCCATTGGTGGATAAAATACGCCTAAACCCCTTAAGTAATTGAAATAGTCTTAATATGAAGGAGTTCGTCTGAGACCTAAATTTAAGTCCCATACCAGCCACTTTTTAAGCCCAAAGCCTTTGTGGACACCATCTACTAAGTCTTGAGTTTCTAGGCATGAAGCTGAAGAATCTCCACCACCCCTGAGGCTTTGAGGCTGGCGAGGTGGAGAATACAGGGCTCTGGGAGAAGCCAGCTCACATTAATAATAGGCCCCCTGCAAGGAGGGAAGAGGACCTCCCAAAAGTCTCCAAAATTTGTTTTATCAGGAAAAATTTAATCAGTACAGTAGTCCTTGTTTGCCTGTGATTTCCCTGTGGTATAGTACAATAAGATTTTTTGAGAGAGACCACATTGGCAAAACTCTAAGTATATTGATGTAATTTTCTATTTTATTATTAGTTATTCAGAATGTCTTATTGTGCCTAATTTATGAATTAAACTTTATTATTGTTATATATGTATAGTGGAAAACACAGTGTATATAGGGTTCAATACTGTCTGAGGTTTCAGATGTCAACTGGGAGTCTTGGAATGTATCCCCCATGGATGTGGGGGACTGCTATACCACTATATATGTGTTTTTATTTATAAATGACATTTTTGCACTTCTTGACTAATAAGTATATTATAAAATGTAGATACATGTTTAAATTGATAAAATGACTATTGATAGTTGTTCTAATGTTTATTTTCCTGAACCACAATTATTTATTTTATACAACGCTGGAAAGCATGTATTTTATTTAGAGCCTACTCTTGTAGGAGACATTGTGCTTTGGCAGATTATAGGGCAAACTTTCTGGCAGACTATAGATGAGAACATTGTGCTGGCGGCCTAAACTTGAGGCACTCCGAGTAGAAAAAAATTCAGTGAACGTTTACCTAGATGGTTTCAACTATGGGTGGTGTGGCTCTTTAGACTTGTGTGACAATGGATATGATTATCTGCCATCCATCACTACTAATTTAGCTGTCATGAAATAAATTCAACAACATGGTATTGCAATGGACATGGATAAAGATGAATGCTAACCCTAGCTCTGCTAATACCATGTGATCTACCTTTGGGCAGTTCACATCCCCTTTGTGACTTGGTTTTCCCATCTGAACATAAGGGTATTCAGCTGAATAATACCTGACAGTCCTTCCAAATCTGAGATTCAAGACCATTTTTCACAGGATTTTTAAAAGATGGATATCCTCCCTAATTCATGGGAGATGGTTCTTATCAATTTTGTGATTCGAGATTATAAAATCAGCATTTTAAAAACAGAACTATCATGTCCATGCTCTTTTTAATTGTAAATTGAGTAATTTTCTGGCATTTAGTATATGAGATATTTTACTGTTGATTCTATCATTTAAGCTTTTTATCATGTAACATTTCAAACACATACAAGAGTTAAGAGAATGATATAATGGTACAGTGAATTTCCATATATCTGTCATTCACCTTCAACAATGATCAATTTATGATTAATCTTGTATCATCTATACTTTCACCCACTCCCTCACTCTGTACCACTATGGTATTATTTAGAAGCAGATCATGGTCATATGATTTGTTCATAAGTATTAGTTGTATCCTTTTAAAAATATATTCACAATACCTCACCATATCTAAACATTTAAAAACTATTTTAATTTTATTTATCTTATTGTTTAATCCAAACAGAACCAACCAAACTATCTGTTTAATAAAGTTATATGATTTTATTTAAATAAAATTAATAATTTAAAAATCATTCTCATTAAATTTAGACTGGATTTGAACACATTGCCTCTTTATGTCTTTAAGGTATTGAAGGATTTTAGGAAAGGCTTGGGCCAAATGCTTATGTGCACATCATAGCATATAAGCATTATCTGCTTAAAGATATTTCACGTTTCCTTATTCATTTTTCTAGACTGGTTATAGAGACTGGCAACTATTTATTTGTATGACCAAATTATTGTCAATATGCTTCTCCATATAATTTCTTCTTTCTTTCCAATTCTCTCGTTTCTTTATTTGGTCTTGGGAAACAAATGAATTGAACATATTTTAATTTTCCTTTTAATCACTTCTAAAGTTAAAGTAGCATTTTGACATTTCCATTTCCTAGTGTGCCCTCCTGGACTTTATGGCTTGAATTGTGCTACCTCTGTGACTGCAAAGTGAAGTCAGTTGTGATACAGCAAGTGGACAGTGCACTTGCCCAGCAGGTGTCCATGGCAGCCAATACAAAAGAGGTATTGCCAGAGCATTTTTAAGCACATGAATGTGAGAATTCTGTGTGACTGTGAGATCTTCTCATCCGGTGACAAACATGTAAGTGAAATTGAAAATATGCAAGAATTACTTAAACATTCAACTTGCACATTAAAGTGGTTGAAATTCACTCAACAGCCAATATAATGAGTCCTGATTTTGTAGCTGATTGGTCAAAAGTTTTATTTTCCTTTATGTAAAATTGTGAGATACTTCAAAACGCCACTAAAAATATTACTCTTTGAAGGACAAAGATTCTACCTCTGAATAAATATTTTATTAAATGCTTTTAAAGAATGTGACCTGTGTATTGAGTCAGTGACACTGAAAGAGACACAAGAAATTTATGAAAATACTTAAAAGATGTGAATTAGGCATTTACCACTAGAAAGTAATCATAGCCGTGAGCGGAGATAAACATATGAAGGTGAGAATTTGGGCTACTCGGTTTGAAATAAAATATTATAAAACCCCAAAAAGCTACTCAGTAAACAACACCAAGTCCTGCTTTGGCATCTATTATGTTCATTCTTGTGCATATGGTTACAACAACTATAATTATTATAATTATACTATGATGATAATGGTAATTTAACTTTATGTGACGAATCAAAGTGATTGTAGCCTTTTAAAAGGCTCTCTGTATTAGTCTCATACTTATGTTCTCAGATGTCACTATAAGGCCTTATATATTTTATCTCTTAGTACATCCTTTATTATTCATGTATTATTTAGTGATTCAATAAAATGTTACCCATTATGTATCTGTGGTAGCAGTAAGATATCAAATTCCAGACGGACTCTGTATAGTATCACATGACAAGTAGCAGGCCCTGTGTTAAATTCTGGAAACATAGTGGAAAACATGGAGCTTATTGTCATCTAGAGAGATGAATAATAAAAACACTTTAATGGAAAATATTAAAAGTAAGACATTTGGCTGGTAGACTTTGTTTCCTTCCTAAAGCTCCTACCTTTGAAAATTTTATTTGCATTCTAAGAGATAAATACTAGTGTTAAAGTAAATCAACTTTAAGACAAAACTTGTCAAATCAGTTACAGAATGGACCTTCGTTCTGACATTCCAAAACTTTTCTCCCTTCTTTTGACCAGCAAATCCCAGTATCATCCCACTTTACTATTTGAAACTCAATCTTAAGGAAATTTTTATATTTAGTTTTAATTAAGATGCATTAATGAAAGCGCAAGGTGTTAATTTTTCAGCATTTCTCCTTTTTTGGTCAGTGTTTGCCTGACATGTTTGGAGATGGTTGACATCAACTTTGTGACTGAAGGAGAACACTTCTGCCACTCAGTGACTGGAAAATGCTTCTGCCCCTGTGGGAGAACTGAAGCCAGATGTGATGCTGGTAGGAGCCAAAGCACCTCAGGACTTCCCTCTGACCCATGGTTATACAGAGATCTGTAGACATTTTCCTACTAGAAGGGATACTCCATTAAAGAGCATTGCCCAGCATTGCTTGATACTTTGCCCTTAGTATCATGAAGAAGAGTTTGTAGCTGTCACATCACAGGCAGCTCAAATAGCACTATAGCTGATGGAGGGCACATGGTAACATGGTAAGTATTTAAAGGGACAGAGTTAAAGTCCCATCACAAAGGTGATTCATAGAAATCACTAGAAGTAAGGCAATTAAGGTGTGGTCCAGATGGTATTCTTGATACCCAAGCTTCCAGCTACTCTTTGGGAACTGAAATGTATATTTCATTTTTCTTTTCACTCAGAGAAAGAATGACCTAGAATATAAAGTTCTAATTCTTCAGGGACTGTCTTAAGAAGAGAGAGTAAGTTGAGTAATTATGAACTAATCACTTGCTACTGGACTTAATGGATGCTTAGCAGATGAAAAGTTTTACATAATTCACAAGAGACCTGAAGGACTGACCCTGCCACTGGTAT